CGCTGGCAAAGGTGGCATCGAATTTTGGACTTACATTTGTTAGCCCAGTGGTCTGCGGTAAGGCACGCAAAACATAACTTATTTTCCCGTACGCAACGGACGCGTTGCTTAACATCCCACGATTTAAAACGTTTGCACAATTCYAAAGTATGGGGCTCGTTACAGCAAGGACAGGCCTTGTTATGGTTGGTGACGACTAATGACGCGGGATTAGACGACAATTGTTTTTGAAACCGATCTCCCCCTTTGCGCGGTTGACTGCCCTGAACTGGTTTATACGGCACGGAACTTGTGTTGTGTTTGCGTGGTGGTTCACCGACAAGCTCCAGAATAGCTACACGTGTCTCAACGAAAGTTAACAACTCACATAGTGACGGAAAATCGGAGGTTGCGTTCGACTCGAACTCCTTACGGGTGGACGACGGTAACCGTCGAAAAGCCAACGTAAATAATAAAAATGACCCAAGGTCCGGAATGTTAAGTGCCTTCAACAAAGATACAGATTCACTAAAAACACTAGAAAAATTTGTCAACTCCTGGAGTGACTCCTGAGTGGACGACGGGACACTCAACAATTTTTCTACTAACGACGCTGCCACCAAACGTGGACGGTTAAATCTGCGCGATAACGTCAACCATGCCAATTCATAATTATCAGATGCAACGGGTATGCCGCGCACCGCGTCAGCRGCGGGGCCATACAGACAACCTATCAGATGGTACATTTTGTCTATCGGTGCCAACTCGGGCCTATGATTGTCAACGGACGCCTTGAACCTATCGCGGAACGTAGGCCAATACCTAAAGTCCCCATCGAATTTTGGCAATGGTATCTCTGGTAGCCGCGAAGTCGAACTGTTTTGAACAATGGGTGTTTGTAACGGACCAACCTTTGACGTRGGATTCGAATTGATAAAAGAGAAGTCTACGGCCTCCGCACCCCTTGGGATCAACTTTTCCGCAATCGCTCTCGACTCAGAGATGAGCGCTCGTACCTCACCCGGCAGGTCCGCAGCGTAATCGCTCGACTTGTCTAGCTGTATTAAATAATCGAGAGCGGCGTCGTCCTCAGACCTAAATTGATTCCATAACATATCCAAATCCGTGACAGCAACCAAAAATTGGGGAACTACGTCGGGATTACTCGTGGCGCGCAACGCAAGCGCGTTCACTGACCGAATACTAGTTACSGCAGCCGCACGCTTTATCTCCGCGCGCGTTCTCAACCGAGTAACGCGCTCAAACTCCTGCTCGTCGCTCATTATAAATATCGACCGCCGGTCAATAATGTCAGGTTACAAACACCCTAACCACAAGACACAAT